TCTCCGCTGCAGGACTTAAAATTTACATTACGGAGTAAAAGTTCAGCAGACACGTTTGTTTATATCTGGCCGCTGCGCACCGGGTGGGGGGAGGGGGGACTCGGTGCTGAACAGTCAACTGGTGTGATCAGCTCTGAAAAGCTTGATCACAATTTGCAGCTGTCGGCTGTCGCTGATTGGATACATTCCCGTTCCTACCATTTGATTTTCTTGTCAGCAATTGGTCAGCTGATTCTGTCCTGTTTGGGCGATTGAAACACAGCCCACAGCCTTTCTGTCGCCTCCACAGCTTGGCAGAGACCAATATAGATATTGATATATATATATATGATTTGTTTTTGTTACAAAACACACAATTAACTTAGAATATGTGATTATTGTTAATTTTATTTATTTATTTTTTTTAAATAAAAATTAAAAACACTGGGGGAAACTGGGAGGGCGGCGCCCTTTCGCCCTCCACTGGCCAGCCGCCACTGCGTCCAAGTCAGCTTTGGATAGGCGATCGTACACCGGAAAAACGTCTTTGTGAATGGGCATCACAGCCCAGAATCCGTGCAGCTGCGTCACAGCCATGGTGAACAGAATCTCAGCGTCCAGAGGCTGGAAGCCGTGCAGACTGAGAAAACTTTGAAGAGCCGGAATCAGTTTAGGTGTTAAAACCCTGCGAATAATGTCCGTAAAGTGAAAATCGTAAAATAATTCATTTTCAGCTACGTAAAGACATTCGTGTTGCCGTTGACTGGGGTGATCGATCTTGCATCCGTGGCAGATGGTAGGTAAGTGAGCTTTGATCGCCATTTTGACCAAGTGAAGAAGACCCATTTTCACATGGTCTACTTTGTCTTCTGAAAACACCCAGTCAGGCAGACGGTGAGGCTCCTCATTGGTGTTCTGGATGTCGAGGGGTTGCACATCCTCCTCCTCCTCATGACCTGGCGGCGGCTCAGGGTTTGATGTCACCGAAGGTGGATCAGTACTCGCAGGAGTCTCGTCGACCCAGGGCCTGAATGGTACATTCTCCGGAACCTCCATGATGGTGGGGCGTCGTGGTAGGTTATCCTCCGGAAAGCATGATGGCAGCGATCTGGACCTCGGACTGCTGTTGTATCTCGGTGGTGATGAAGCCGATGGCAGTGATCTGGGCCTCGGACTGGTGTTGTATCTCGGCGGTGATGAAGCCATTAGTACCCAGCTCGGTGGCGGGCTCCATAGGTCATCAAGGGTCGTCTGATTGTAGAACCCCATCATGCTGATGCCTTAGATCGTCTGGATGAAATGGTTTCTAACTGTAAGCTCTTTATAACTAGTGCTGGGTGGGGGCGTGGTTTGATGATGATGCGACCTCCTCCTCCTCCTCCTCCTCCTCCTGAGGCAGGTCTTAGAACTCCAGCTTTTTTCGCACTGCCAGAATGTCGTTCCAGCAGCGGCTGGTACGAAAAAGTGAAGTAATACGATCCTCCACTTCATTTATTTTTTCACACCAGGCATCGAAAGGTACAACCTGTAGAAGGCGGTAAATTCCGCATACAGAATGCACATTTTCCAGCACAAAAAAGAGCTCAAATCCTCTCACACCGACCGAGGCCTTGAACATCCACTCCCCATCTGCATCCTCTTCCCCCTCCCATGAAGCGCTGAATGCTGTCACAGCGTTCTGGATTTCATCCAGCGTTGGAAGAGCTTGCAGCCTGTTGCGATTGACAGGCGGACGAGGTCTCTCACGATCATCTCTGTACACCTTGCGTGGAACAGCCAGCCTGAGCACTGCCCAGTCGTTGTAGGAGAGACCCACTGGTGAGTGTGATAAATAAGACTTAAGAGGTTCGCCCTCAGCCACATCTTGGATTAGACACAGATCCTTAGTGTCATAGCTGAACCGGTACCCAAAACTACCGGTATAGCCGTAAGGTTCCAACTGCCATATTTGCTCCAAGATCTCTTTACCGCCGAAAGGAGGAACCTGGACTCTGCAGATGTAGAATGTTGATTTGCGGGGAGCACCAACCCCTGCAGGCAGCTGATGGATCACGATGGATTTTTCACAAAGCATGGTTTTTGACAGTGGCGTATCCACACTCTCTTCGTCCACCTTTTGGGTTGAAGTTGAAGCGTCGGATGTAGACACTTCTTCCTCGTGGCTTGGTGCTTCATCCATCTCCTCTTGCTTCATCATTTTCTTAGAGGTTGGCTTTTCACCATTCGGACACGATCTGAGCTTTTAAAGAGGAGATCGGTGTATGGAAGGGAGGGGGCTGTGGGAACTGCAGGGCTAACACAAAAAGAAACTTCATGCGCCATTACACACATTAGGCTAAGGCGGGGGGGCCAAGGCCATCTGGTCATTGAACAATACACCATTGATGCTAGGGAAGGGGGGGGGGGCAAGGTCAGGGGGTCAAAGAACAATAGGCCTGAAAGGTCAGGAGGTCAAAGAACAATAGACCTGTCAAAAAGTTTGACGAAAGGTGGGTTCTTATACTACTCCTGTAGCCTGTTGAACCCACTGAAAAACAGAGTTGCACAGCTTTTTTGATTGTCTGTTTACTCCATTTAATGCCTCTTGTGTATTTCATGCCAGTTCCTTCAACTGCTTTTTAGTAAAAATATGACCAATTTTTTTCCATGTTGAAAACTTTCTTTCGCTTGGCTGAATTAATTTTTGTCTGTGTTTTAAGTGTCCCTTCCAATCTTCTAATGTGTTCTTTTAGACTTTCTATTTCCTCCCTTAGGTTTTCCAGCTGGGTTCCCTGGTTGCAGAGCCTGTTCCTTTCCCCTCCTGGCCCTGACGCCGGCTCCTCGTGGCTTCCTGGGATGTCCCTCTCTCCTGATACCATCTCATGTCCCCCCTAACTTTCCCTCATCTCATTTGCCTCACTGCTGCAGCTGCTTTCCTCATTCTCTGAAATTATAATGACACTGTTAGAATAGAATTTTTTTTAAATAAAATAAATACAAATGAAAGATTTGTACCACAGTTTAGTTGAGTGCAATATGTGTGGTCACTGGTCAGTGGATCAACATGCAGGGGTTCTGCTGTACTTCTCACTGCGGGATCCTTCCTGCTCCTTGGTTCAGGGCGATGAACCAAGGAGGTTATTTGCACATATGTAATGGCTAAACCTAATGTTGGTAAAAATGCTTTATTAAAAATGTAAAAATGCTATTATACATGTTGTACAAGTTTGCAATTCATTTTTTCACAATTAACACACACTTTTTTAATTTACTGTGTTTGACCATACAGTTTTATCAAAATTTTCATTTTAATTAGTTGCTATTAGTCAGGCTATAGAAGCCAGATAAACTGGGCTATTGATGCATGTACTGTCTTCACATAAAAATATAAAGTAATGATTGTAAAATGCATTCTACTGAACATAATAGATCATCATTCAAAGCATAAACAGCTACAAATTTTCTTCAAGGTAAGCTGGAGCAGAATTCTAGCTTTCAATAAACCACTTTAAAATGAATATTACAACTCGAGTTGAGGGCTTCTTGTAGGACTTAAAGTTCTTAAATATGCTTGTATTAGAGCAGTGTGTTGCATTATTACATCAAATTTATTGCTATAACATATATTATAGTAATGTATGTGGTCTAAATGTATTATACAATGTGTTAGGACTATCGTATTCCTGTAATTAGAAAAGTCACGGGTGTCTGTCTTCCTACAAATGCTCAAGAAAAAAATAGGCTACATTGTGAAGGAATTAGGACATAATATATCATATTATTTAATAAATACCAAAAATCGCCAGGGGAAATGTGATTATATTCCATTTTTGTGATTTGTCCCACCATATTCCGTTCAAACTGATGTATGGCACTGGGATGTTTGGAACTATTGAGAGCTCCATGAACTACTGATGTGTCGGTTGCGAACGAACCGGCTCTAAGAGCCGGCTTTATCAAGTGAACGACGGGAGCCGGCTCGTCATTGGGTGCCGTCACATACACCCCCTTGCTTTGGTGAAAGTCACAGGCGATTGGTCAACATGTGTAACTGTGTGTCCAAACTGTCCACACACAGAGCAGTAGGGCCAGGGAAGAGGGACGGTCAGACTCAGACACACAGCAGAGCACATGCGGGTGAAGGGAGACAAGAGGGAATGAGGAGGAGGAAAAAGGCGAGTGAGAGAGAAGAGTGCGACGAAGACGGTGAGAAAATGAGCGACAGCAGTCGGAAAGTTGAAATTTCTTAAAGTGTTCAGCTAATAAATCCATATAAATGATACTTATTTGATATATTGCATCTTTTACATTAGTAAATCATTTTACATATAGTTTTGCATTATTTTTGGTGACAAATATACTTTACGCAATAGAAAATCTGAGGAGCCACTTGGGAGCCGAAAGAGCCAGCTCTCTAAAAAGTGCCGGAATTCCCATCATTTCCATGAATCATGTGACCGCGAGTTGGTGAGTTCAAAGGGTGTCGCAACTCTCTCTTTCCTCAGCTCATTCCTTCCCTAACCAGCTAACTACAAACTTTTCCACTAACCTGTCCTGTGGGACTTTTATTATCTCCTCATGTCCATGCTGTCTCTGGAGGAGCAGATAGGAAACAAGACCTCCTTTAACTTAAAAAGAAACAAAGCTTCCTCAAGTTTCTCTTTAATCTGAATTTTGCATCAGTTTATCATCATGAAACAAAAGAATAAAGTGTAACAAAAACTTCTATCTTCTATTTCTCTCATTTTAACTTCTCCTTGTCCCTAAATAAAAGAGACAGCGACGTCACTCAGCCCCGCCCCTTCCCCAGGACCGGATCTCCCGACCCGACCTGACATAGCAAGTTCGCAAAACTCGGTCCGACTGGAGACTCGAGGAGAAATAATGATGAAATTATGAAAATAATAATGCGTGTTTTTTTTTGGGGGGGGGGGGGGGGTCCTTCTGACCCCCCCCCCCTCTCTCTCTCTCTCTCTCCCTCTCTCTCTCTCTCTCTCTCTCTCTCTCTCTCTCTCTCTCTCTCTCTCTCTCTCTCTCTCTCACTCTCTCTCTCTCAGTCGCTGATCGAGCGAGCGGAGCTTTCCTCAGCTCTAGTACAGCATTTATCTGCAGAAGTACCCGGGCTATTTGACTGACCAGCCGTGTGGATTCAAGGGGCAAACAACCTTTGAATACCCAGATGACCAATCACTCGCCTTGCTGAGACAACTTCGCTTTGCCAGCTGGATCTCCAGGAACCCTCATCACGGTAGATCTGCATACTGGTGTTCAGTGTTGGGAGTAACGCGGTACAAAAGTAATTAATTTCTGTAATGCATTGCTTTTTGCTGTAATGTGGTAATGTAAGGCATTACAGGGAAATAAAATGGTAATATTTACTCGGTACGATTGTCAGTAACGCGGTAATTACAATGCATTTTTAAACCCAGAATCAAGATGGGGTTTCTTAAAAATTCAAATTGCGGGAAGCCTGAAAAAAGATATGACGTCATTTATGGACTCAGCTTTGAGGACATTCTATGAGCAGAGAGAACGCAGCGGTAATGGCTCAAATACTCCAGCTGCGTCCTGCGCGCGGCCGCTGTTATATTCACAAAATCGCTCCACCAAAACAAAGTCGTTTGTTTGAGATCGTTTATATCAGCCCATATTCTCTACTTCATGTACTTTTCAGCTAAGTTCATAATCTGTGCCCCGGTGATTTCAAGTCACTGCTGCTGGTTCGGTGGATCCCTTTGGCTGATTAGTTAGAAAGTAGGAAATATAGGAAACAGTTTTTCTGGAAGACGGAGAAAACATGCAGCATGCAGGAAGGTTGGAGAGAGAAGGGGCAGGAAATTATTCAAATAAAATCAAGAAAACAAAGTAGGTAGACTTATCTCCAATACACATTTTTACCAGTGAAAAGCAATAGTATATAAGCATTTAATATTTATACATGTGATAGAATCAGATCACCCCAGAAGTCAGTCCCACATCCAGGGCCGTATCAAGGCATTTGGGGACCAAGGCTTGGAGCCCTCACTCCCAGCTCAGTTAGATGGCAGCGTGCTGAAAGTACAGATTGTTGTTGCTTTTATTTAATAAACAATCATTTTGAAGCACCGTTATTATATCTGACTGTTTTTAACAGCAATCCTAGCTCAGATACCACATCACCTTCCCCATATATGTCATGAGCTCGCTGAGCGTCAGATTACCAGATCCATATTGAAGTTGTTTTGGTGAAAGTAACTTTAAGTAATGCAAAATCAGTGTAATGCCTGATATTTTAAAATCAGTAATATTGTAATGTAATGAATTACTTTAAAATAAGGGTAACAAGTAATAAATAATGCATTACAGTTTTGAAGTAACTTGCCCAACACTGCTGGTGTTGGATGGGTTAGGATTAATTTGATAACTAATCAAACATCACAAAATTCAGACAGATTATTCTTGTAATCCCAGACTTCACATCTTTTCCTAAAACACCATTAAGCTCTCAATAACATCCAAGATAATCAGAATTGGTTATTAACAATCGATTACCTCCAGTTATTCGAGTAGAAATATAGTAATAAATAGATTTTTATAAACTATATTTTTGCTTCTGTGTCACATTATTGGTAAATTTGGGTCCCTGGCAATCCCAAATGACATATTTCCAGACTCAATCAGATAATAAAGGTTCAGTAATATTAATGATTCATATTTCTATGGAACATTACTATATATTTATATGTATTACTATATAAATAAACTTTACTTACTTACTTACTTACTTACATTATACTTGTCGAATACCTTTTATATTTTATTGACAGTTTATGAATTGTGACCACTTACAAAACGTTACGTCTGCTTAACAGCAATCCTTTGTGTTTATTCCATCATTAATATGATGCTCTGGACCTATGCTCTGTCTGTGTGATGTAGCCGGGATCAGAGTCTATTTCCTCCTCTGAGGTTGTCGTTCTTGTCTGTAAAAAAGTTAAAGTTTATGTTTTTCTTGATCAGGCAGCCCTCAGCAGTCTGGTTGAGTAGGATGTGCAGCACTCAGTGCACAGTGCAGATGAGTCTGCAGCAGACACACGCCCCTGTGACGTTGAGATCTTTGTTGTCTTTTGTGACCCCTGCCCCCGGGTCTTTTGTGAAGCACAATCCAAGCGGGATGGGCTGGGCCCCGGGTCTATTGTGATGCATGGCCAAAGCCGGGGGAGGGGAGGGGGGGGGGGGGGGTACTCCAAGGGAATGCACCAGCATGGGGGAGGGAGCTAAAGCCTCTTCTATAAAGTTGTTTGCATCTGAGATATCCGCTTCACCTGAAGCCACATGATTTCACAAGAGGAAACTCTTTTCACCATTGGCTTGTGGTGAATTTTGCCTGGTGGGATAGTTACAGAGAGAAAGAAGGTTACAAAAATACTAAATAAATACAAATCATTTATTTTATTTATTCTTTATTTAGGAAGGTCCTGGCCAAGCGGCACCAAAAGTTACAATTTTTTCTGCTCCACAGACATGTTAATTACAGAAGAAAATTACAGAAGGCTGCTAAACACAAGAACTCCGTCTCAAGGTTTTAAATGTATTCAAAGAGATAAACTCGGTTCATTTCCAGTTTCCTGCAGCCTGTTCCATGCAGAAGGAGCAGAGTGAACAAAGCCCTTTGGTCCATTTCGGTCAAAGCAAACGGAACGCTGATTGTGAGAAGTTACACTTCTCCATGAGATTAAGTTACAGATGGGTATCAATCCAAGCATGCCCTTATAAATGAAAGTGTACCAATGTCACAATTTACCAGGCAAGAATGGAAAAAAATTGTTGAAAAATCCAAAGAGTACAGTAAGAAATGAAAGCATCATCAAGAAATTATTTTGTATTTTTCAAATAATTATCCAGTTATCTAAACCATTCATTAGAGCAGGGATTCCCTAACTGTGGTGCGCGAGCTGCCGCTAGGGGGTGCGCGAGCTGCCGCTAGGGGGTGCGCGAGGTAAAAAGTGTAATGGCTGCAGAGCTCAGAGAAGTCTGCCATGTGGGTGGGCCTAGGAAAAAGTAAGTGGGCTCAATAAATGCAATTGAAAACAAGTATATTTTGCTTGTGTGTGTGTGTGTGTGTGTGTCCTCCGCATGTGCCCTAGCTTCATAATAATAATGCACTCCGAGCTTCAACGCTCTGACCTGCGCACGCTGTCAATAGCAAGATATGTTCAGTATTTGATCATTTTTAACGATGTTGGAGAAATCTGGAGGTGGTGAGTCAGTCTGGCAGATTGTAATTAACACCCTGTCTCATGCAGGTGTTCTGACATTGTAAACCTCACACACAGAACATTGTGGATGTAACAAAAGGGGCAGCAGTAGCTCAGGAGGTAGAGCGGGTTGCCTCATGATCGGAGGGTCATGGGTTCGATTCCAGCTCCTGCCATGGGTATCCTGCTGTTGTGTAGCCTGGCAAGCCAGACTAAACTTTGCAAAGCAAGAATTTGGTTTAGTTCACTAGGCTAGCTGTTGTGTCCTTGGGTAAGACACTTCACCCAACTTGCCTGTGTTAGTGGTGGTCAGAGGGGCTGACGGCGCCAAATGGCAGCCTCGCCTCTGTCAGACCTCCCCAGGGCGGCTGTGGCTACAAGTAGCTTACCAGAAATGAGCGCTGCCGCTTCCATGATAAAAAACTTTTAAGAGGTTTTATTACAACATTTTTCATTCAAGGTCAAAATAGCTTCCATTTTGGGATGACGTATTAAAATCGAGTCCGCTCCAGCCAGTGACTCCTCATGAACCTGACCACAACTCATGTTACTGCAGCATTTGTCATTCCAGTCCGCGTGGCAGCGGATCGCAGATTCAGCCACACCATAAAACAGCAATAAGTCAGTCTGAGGCAAAAGTGAACATCATGGCTATAGCTTTTCCATCTTTTCCCCTATAGACATTTGATTACGCACAAGTAGGTGACCAGCTCAGGTTTACGCAGAGCAGAAGGAAGGAGAGAACTCTGGTTAAACGTTCCTGCTTTAAGAAAACCGTTAAATTGCATTTTTTATTTGCTACCTGGGCACTCTAAATATTGATTTAAAATTAAATCAAAAGAAATTGTAATGGTATTGAATGTTTATTAATTACTATTTCAAAAATACGTAATACATAAACATAAAAATGAAAGTGATGGGAAAAAGGTCGATCATATTTTTTTAACCGTGTCTGTCGAGTGACTGTTTAGCGTGACGTCTGATATATATATCTGGATATATATATATATGGCTATATATATATATATATATATATATATATATATATATATATATATATATAGCCATGCCCTGATGCGGGGGCTGGGGGTGCGTCAACATTGTCGGGACATAGAAGGGGGTGCGCAGCTAAATAAGTTTGGAAACCACTGCATTAGAGAACCCCGGAGGAGAAACGAGTCTAGGAAAAGCTTTGATAGTCTGAGGGGGCTGTGTGTTCTTTTATTTTCAGTTTCTAGCTTCTACGGCTAAACTAGTACTTTCTAAATCTGTGTTAGTTCTGTACAAACGTGGTACCAACAATGAAGGGGCTTCTTTCAACAACAAAAATCTGATCCATTTTATTTCAGATATTATGTTTTATATGTGGTTTAATTATATATGTAGACAAGACAAGAGGATATTTATTAGAGCACTATATTTATATTTGATGTTCTTCATGTTTGGCTTGATTGCCAGAACAAAGCAGAAAGTTGGGAGATGAAGAGAATGAAGAGAAACATGAAAATGTGTCACGTTGTGCGCTGGAGGAGTTGGACCCAATGCACAGACACCCAGAACGACACGAGGCAGGAGTGGATGTAAAAGTATACATTCTTTATTTAGAATGACTAACCAAAGAAAACCTAGTAGGGCACAAAGCCAAAATCCTAGAGACCTAGGGGGGAGGGGGGAGGGGGGGTATACAGGGGCAGGATGATTGGGAGACGAGCTGCAGGTGTGTGGGGGAGAGAGAGTCCGAGGAAACCTGGTGGAATCAATTTACTAATCAGGGGGAGGAATCCAAGCTGAAGAGGGGAAATAAAACATAACCTATGAATGATAACCAAACCTAAAGACTAGAAAAACGAGATAAATAACTAATGATCTGAGGAGAAAGGGAGAACTGGTAAGGGGCAGCAGTAGCTCAGGTGGTAGAGCGGGTTGCCTCATGATCCTGCTGTTGTGTCCTTGGGCAAGACACTTCACCCAACTTGCCTGTGTTAGTGGTGGTCAGAGGGGCTGACGGCACCAAATGGCAGCCTCGCCTCTGTCAGACCACCCTAGGACGACTGTGGCTACAAGTAGCTTACCATCACTAGAGTGTGTGAAAGCGTATTGGGTGTCTAGAAAAGCACTATATAAGTTCAATGCATTATTATTATTATTATTATTATTATTATTATTATTATTATAAACCGGTGGGGAAGGAACAAGGAAGGAACTTAAAGAACCTGAACCTATGAAAACTACAGGGAAAAACTAGCTAGATAATATAATTACAAAGAGAACTAAAGAATAAGTGAACCTGGGAAACCTGGTGGGAGCTGGAGACAAGAAGGGGACACAGGAAGCTTGCAGAGGGAGGGGGATCCTAGAGGGACACCTGGAGGGGTTGGGGAACACAAGGAGCACAGAAGACTTGAGGGACATCCAGAGGGGTTGGACACCTAAAGGGGCACATAAACCTAAGGGGAGAACCTGGAGTTGGGCTGGGGAACGCAAGGAGGGACATGAGGAACACAAGGAGACACATAAGGGGATCCTAGATGGGGCTGGAGAACACATGAGGGGGACGCAGACCATGACAGTCCCCCCCAAGGGGCGGATACCAGACGCCCACAAGACAAACACAAGACGTAAAACAAGGGACCAGGGAGTCTGGGACCAGGGGAGACTGGGAGGCCGGCGACGGGGAACCAGGAGCCGGGACGTAGGAGGCTGAGGGGACGAAGGCTCTGGAGGAGGATGAGGGGATGACGACACTGGAGGAGGATGAGGGGACGACGACACTGGAGGAGGAGGAAGATACGACGACACTGGTGGATGAGGAAGGGACGAAGACTCTGGTGGACGAGGAAGGGACGAAGACTCTGGAAGACGAGGAAGGGACAAAGACTGGAGGATGAAGTGGGGACGCTGGAGGATGAGGATGAAGTGGGGACTCTGAAAACGGGGACTCTGAAGGAGGAGGAAGGGACGAAGATACAGGAGGCTGAAGAGGGGACTCGGGAGGCTGAAGCGAAGACTCTGCAGGAGGCTGAACCGAAGACTCTGCAGGAGACGAAGGCGAAGTCTCTACAGGCTGAGGGGACTCTGGAGGATGAAGGGACGTAGGAGGATGAGGAGGGGACTCTGAAGACGTAGACTCTGAAGGCGAAGACTCTGAAGGTGAAGACTGCAAATACTCTGCAGGCGTAGACCCTGCAGGCATAGACCGGGACTCTGCAGGCTTAGACTCTGCAGGCATAGACCGGGACTTTGCAGGCGTAGACCGGGACTCTCGGACAGGCTGGGCCGGGGTGAAGCCTCTTATACCGGCTGAACCGCTGCAGGCGGAGCATCTTGGACAGGCGGAACCGCTGCAGATGGAGCTTCTTCGACAGGCAGAACCACTGCAGGCGGAGCCTCTTGGACAGGCTGAACCGCTGCAGGCGGAGCTTCTTGGACAGGTGGAACCTTGGAGAGGCGGAACCGCTGCAGGCGGAGCCTCTTGGACAGGCGGGACCGCTGCAGATGGAGCTTCTTCGACAGGCAGAACCACTGCAGGCGGAGCCTCTTGGACAGGCGGAACCGCTGCAGGCGGAGCCTCTTGGACAGGCGGAACCGCTGCAGGCGGAGCCTCTTGGACAGGCGGAACCGCTGCAGGCGGAGCCTCTTGGACAGGCGGAACCGCTGCAGGCGGAGCCTCTTGGACAGGCGGAACCGCTGCAGGCGGAGCCTCTTGGACAGGCGGAACCGCTGCAGGCGGAGCCTCTTGGACAGGCGGGACCGCTGCAGATGGAGCTTCTTCGACAGGCAGAACCACTGCAGGCGGAGCTTCTTGGACAGGCAGAACCTTGGAGAGGCGGAACCGCTGCAGGCGGAGCCTCTTGGAGAGGCGGAACCTCTGCAGGCAGAGCCTCTTGGACGGGCTGTGCTGCTGCAGATGGAGCTTCTTGGACGGGCTGGGGTTTCAGAGCAGGAAACACCTGGACTGACGGTGAAGGTGTGTCGATTCAGCCCCTCGGAGATGCAGAGAGGGTGCCTAGTAAGAGGAAGGCAGCTGACAGATGGCAGTCCACCAGGGAAGAGCCGGTAGCGCTGTCTGTGCCAGATGAAGGTGTGACGTGAGGAAGTGGGTGGTTGTGGGTTGCAGCAGAAGGCATCTTGTAGATCCTTAGCAAAAATCCAAAAACTAACTTCCCCTATTGGATACTGCTTGAAATAGCGGGCGGCCCATTGCAGGGCATTGCATCATAAACATAATTAGGTCAATGTCCAAGCTGTCCGTATCCAAAGCCAAAAACATAGAGACCGGGGGGGGGGGGGGGGGGGGGGGTTTGACAGGAGGACCCAGAGCTCCTGAATATGCCTTACATTACCACATTACAGCAAAAAGCAATGCATTACAGACATTAATTACTTTTGTACCGCGTTACTCCCAACACTGTCCTCGTGTATAAAACCCTGTTTGTCTCGATGTTGGTCCATTGTCCTTGTCAGCGTTTTTTTGCCCCTCCCCCCAAAACTGTCTGATTCCACAACATCATTCCACCTCTGTCTTAAAGTGCACATCGCGTGCTACTTCCTCCCTGACTTTCATAAGGATTTGATCTGACATTTCAAAATAAAGTGCACTCAAATTTGGCTATAAAAGCAATTTTGACTATATTCAATGGTTAATTTTTCAAAAACTGTCTGATTCCACAACATCTTTCCACTTCATTCTTAAAGTACACATCGAGTACTACATCCTCCCCGACTTTCATAAAGATTTGATGTGGCATTTCAAAATAAAGTGCAATTAAATTTCAATCACACGCGTGTAGTCCGTCACTTTCAACAAATATTTAGAAAAGTAGGCTCTACTCCATCCGTGCCTGTTGGCGAGCCCTTGCGATGACAGATAATGGTGTTGCGTGTCTCTGCACTGTCACAGACGAAGTATAAACCAGCCTTCAGACCAAACGTGGAAGTACTTGCACTGCGCAGTAGAAGACACGGTTCGTTCTTGTAACACCTGAGTGGCAAAGGTGTATTCTGACTGAATGGATGTTGTGGGGATCTGGAAAAGAATAAAGAACACTTACTGATTCCAGTGGGATGGTTGGAGTAATCATCTGTTCTTTAATTCCCAAATAAAAATATGGAATCAGGAAAAACAGGGTTGATTCTTTTCTGTAACCTCTTTACACTTTACACATCCATTCAGACACACACTTGCTGTAGATTTAAGGTTAACACTGTCCCTATTGTTTTTGTGTTTCAGTGTATCCTGAACTTGTTCAGCAGACGCGTTGATTATGGAACCAGTTTCTGATGAACTGTGGTCTGGTGTGAACCAGGAGGACCCAGAGCTCCTGAACATAAAGGAGGAGCCGCAGCTTGTTGGATTCACTGCAATTTCTTGTCAGTTTGAGGAAGATGAAGAGAAATTTCTGCTGTCACAGTTTGATCTGCACCAAACCAAAGACGGAGGTCTTTCACACAGCTGCACCACTGAAGAGGTGAAACCAGAAAGTGGAATATGGAGTATGGAATATGGTGGAGCAGCAGATGGTACCAGTAATCCAGATCTAAAACATGAAGTGGATTCCAGCTCTTCAGAGTCTGAAGTGTTTGAAGAAAATGACCAGGATGGAAACAGTTCTGACTCTTCTGTAATATTCTTGTCAGCATCTGAACCAAAAACTAAAGACCGTACCAACGACTGGAATGAGAGCAGGTCTTCAAGCATTCGGGTTAATAAGGAATCTGCTACAGTGAAGCAAAATGTAGACTCAAGTAGGAAAGACCAGGCACCACTAATATTAATTAAGTCTGAACAAACAGCTAGTCAAAACAGAAGTGTAATTACTGCCGGTGTAAAGAAACCTCCCACTTGTGAGATCTGCGACAAAACCTTCATGCTAAGGTCCTATTTATACGAACACAGGCGAAGCCACGCAGAACAGAAACGTTTTTCCTGTGAACTCTGTGGAAAAAGATTTAGCCTAAAGCGGGTCTTAAAAAATCACATGAGAATCCACACAGGAGAGAAGCCTTTTGCTTGTGAGCTCTGTGGAAAATCGTTCAGCCAAAAACTTAGCTTAATAACTCACACGAGAATTCACACAGGAGAGAAGCCTTTTGCTTGCGAGCACTGCGGACGATCGTTTAGCACAAAGGGAGGCTTGACCAGCCACGTTATAATCCACACAGGAGAGAAACCCTTTACTTGTGAGCACTGTGGACGATCGTTTAACAAAAAGACAAATTTAGACAAACACATTAGAGTTCATTTGGGACAGAAATGTTTTGTTTGTGAGATTTGTGGGAAAAGATTCAGTCAAAGCCCACATGTGACTGCTCACATGATGAGAATCCACAAAGGAAACAAAACCATCGTTTAACTACAGTTCCTTTAGACAGCTTTGTAGTTTTTACACTGGGGTATTCTTTCAGTGGCGGAGTGGTGGTGCCAGGAGGGCGCTAAGGGGTGCTACAGGCAAGGATGTCATTTTGATCAATGTCATAATCCAGTTTTTACTCTAGACTTCATGTCTGGTCAAATAAAGTTCTACTTTATTTCTCCTTTTGATTTAAAAAAAGGAATAGATTAACTTTCTGATTGAAAAGCTACTTAACTTGTGTGAACTAGTTTTATACAGATTATCATCACAACAGCTCGAGTGTATACATTATTTTTCTTATCATCACACTAACATTTGTCACAACGTACAACCTCATGACTGATGGGTCTTGATTCTTCCAACCTTTCCTCATCCATCACACCCAGCCTCTCCCTCTATCACCTGGAAATGTGTTTATAACAAGAGACCAGTGGGACAATTTTAGATGCAACAATAATACTTTCTGATTGTAGTTAGACTGAGGAATAAACTAAGTTTTACTAAAAACAAATGCATTTCATTGGACAACAATAAAATGTAAAAATGTTTTTTTTTTCCTCACAAACTTTCATTGATTTTTAAACCGTTGATGCCTTTAAGCACAAATTGTACTTGGAAAGAATTAATTAAAAAAAATTAACGTGTGTTTCATTGGCATTAAGCTTGTCTGTGTTGTAGAGGAGGTATGATTAAAAAGATCACACATTTTGTTTGTCACATCTTAAGATTCAATTTACTAGAATAAAACAATTGCTTAATGTATAAGCTACAGTGCATGCTTTTTTCTTGAAGTTAAACCTTACTAATGAGAGATGGGTGTCTGGAGATGTCAGTTGTGTGGAGGTCAGTATGAAAATGTGAGTTTACCAGGCCCCCATTATTCTGGGATGAAAATGAAACAGACACAGAAATGGCTAAAATTGCAGTTCCATCCTCCTCCTCTAGGGGCTGGCAGCAGAAGTGAGCAAATCCTCATTGACTTCCATGTTACAAATGCCAATGGGGAGCCTAAGTCACTTCCGCATCATGGGTCTGCGGAAGAACGAAAAAATGAATGCAAGTCAACGGAGCTAAAAATGCAATTTTCTAACTCTTGCTTGTTTTTTTTTGCCATGGGGTTCACATATGATGTTCGTGAATTTTAAAGAAGCATTTTGATACCAACAAAACGATTATTTTCGAATGGGGGGAAACGCTATTTTAGGTTTTGTGTGTCTTTACTAATGCCGGTAGTTTTAGACGATGTCTGCTGATGTAATTTCCTACCGAGTTATAACCAATCAGCATGAGTTAACCAGAAGTTCCGCTCAGCTACTCCACCGGGCCGTTTGGAGTACCTACCCCTGAGCAGGTACTCAGAAGGTTCCTGAAAGGGGCCCGGAAAGCAGCCGTTCGGCCGGCCTGGTTAAGTGGATGTCAGGAGGTTCCTGTAAATCTTCCCTGAAGTTCAGATGATGGAAACGCAGCTATGGGAGAGAGAAAAAGTGGTTAAAACACACTAAATACACTAATAACTACAACAGCCGATTCTTGCTTTTTAATATCAGTTATCACGTCATCCAGGCTCGGGGCTGGGACTTTTGTCATTTGCTCATGGGTGAGATAGTGAAATTTGCAGCCACATCACAGTAAAACTCAGTAAAACTCAATAACGCCACAAGAAGTAGCTAGATCTGTCACTAGTAGCCTCTTTGAAAAAGAGTCACTAGAGGGGTCTGAAAAGTTGCTGAATATTGTCCGGATCTTCTCCTTCTCCCTTGTGTTCTCCTCTCGTTTAGTGTCTATTGGTCTCACCTGATTCCTGATTACTTACTGATGACTCATGTCTGGAAACCCTCTGTTTGAGCTCGTCTTTGTCAGAACCTCATCTTGTCTTCCCGTTGTATCATCCAAACTACCATAATTCATATTAAATAGTTTTGCTTGCCAGTCTGCCTCCGGTTCCTGCTCACCTGCATTTGGGCCCTTTTGCGACCAACTCTGCATCACGACAATCCAGCGTTTTTCTTTTTGGGACTCTAGAGTTTGTCGTAAAGTTGAAGTGGCAGCAGCCATCTGGAAAACCTCTCACACCAGTGGTCTTCTGTTGCAAAACATGCAAGTGTGTGATGAATAGAGGACCCAGGGAAGTGCGGCGGTTCGGTGAAATCAACCACCATGATGGACAAAAACAGCTCCAGTGTGCCATCCACTCTGCAGAGAAGGTGACTGGCTGCAACCTGCCCTCCCTAATGCCGGGCGTACACTGTGCGACTTTTTCACTCGCAGCGTTCAGCTTCAGCTCAAACTGTACGACTTCCTCGCAGAGCAGATCTCACGAGTCATGTGCTCACACTGCACGACCCAGTTCTCGCATGCGACCTGACTGCTCACACTGTACGTCTGGTAGCAACACGTCGGCCCTAAAAATGTGCTAAAAATAGCAGTTTTTACTCAACACGTCAGACTTTTTTGTCTTGCCTGTTGTCCGGGAGTGCTGCAGGAGGACACACGGGGATTTATGGGGGTTGGATGAGGAAAACGAAATAAAGAAAGTGAATCTGTGTTTTGTGATCAGTTTAATTTGACATGAACATGACAAACACGCTTTCTTGACAATCTTTGTGAGTAAAAAAACATGTAGAAACAACAACGAACAGCGTGTGTTATTAGGGAAATAGCGAGCGACCGGCCGGCGTTGATGCAGGATTGCGCGCGCATGCGCCGTGAGCGGTTCTGATACTTTTTTGGATCGTAGCTGCTCGCAGCTGCTCGCAGCGCTGCTTCAACAGTGCGATACCCTCACGAGGGACGAGCGAAATATTAAACACACCAGAAGTCCCTGCGACCTCACGACTGCTGATCGGCGGCTGGTCACGTGGTGTTAATCGCCTCTCGTAACCCCCTGTACACTACACGACCGCTCGGCGCAAAACTCGCCCCGATTTCGTGGCTTCTCGCACGACTGGAAAATCGGCTCAAAAAGGAGAAAAAGTCGCACAGTGTACGCCCGGCTTAAAGGACCTGCACTTCCAGAACAATGAGATAAAGATTAGTTGCCGACCCTTCCCAACCTTGATTGTCCCCTGCACCAAGAGCCAAAACTATTTCCTGGTGAGTGCAAACATGTCCCTTGCAACAAACCTCATGGTTCTGATTCTGATAATAGTAGTATAAGAACCCACCTTTCGTCAAACATTTTGAAAGGTCTATTGTTCTTTGACCCCCTGACCTTGACCCCCCACGCCTTAGCATCAATGGTGTATTGTTCATTGAACAGATGGCCTTGGCTCCCCCGCCTTAGCCTAATGTGTGTAATGGCGCATGAAGTTTTTTTTTGTTTTAGCCCCGCAGTTCCCACAGCCCCCTCCCTTACATACCTCTTTAAAAGCTCAGATCGTGTCCGAATGGTGAAAAGCCAACCTCTAAGAAAATGATGAAGCTAGAGGAGAAGGATGAAGCGTGGATACGCCGCTGTCACAAACCTTTAATGTCTTAACCGGTAATTTAACCTCTCAGATATGATCGTACAGTTCATCACCTAAATTCAACACGCAGAAAGTTTTGTCATCTAAATTGTATTGCAAATGCAGAGAAGCAGAACCTATCGAAACTGACACGCTGCAGCCATTATAATGCACTACCCAGCCCTTACTGACGCACACACACACAGGTCCATTGTATGTGGCTGCGTTGTTCTGTTCCCTCTCGAGTTTGTCATGAGTGAGCTTCAGTTTTGTTTTTTGACCGCTCAGTGCGTTTTGGGATTAAGTCTGATTTTTGTGCCTTGGGACTTTTGGTGCATCCTCCTTTAAATAAAGGATTTATTTTCTTAAACCACTCCTGCCTCAAGTCGTTCTGGGGATTCTGCATCTTGGGTCCAAACCTGATCACAATGTGACGCTGTGTGCCAACAAAAGTCTGTAAAGTACTTTTCTCCCAAATAATAGATATTTGGATTCCGTATGTTCTGTCTTAAACTTTGTGTTTAAATGTTAAATGTGTTATTTACCCGCAGCTCACTGACAGTTTTGACAAGAGAGGCTGCAGGAGCTAGCCATCCTATGTATGTCCAGAACTAAAACAATTGTGTAAAACAGGTAGAGCTTCTGCAGCTGACTGTCACCGAGGAAACAGTTGCTTTTATTACATGTTTTTCTACATAAATGAACTGAAAACCATTTCTTACAGCAGTAGATTTGTGGTCTTTGAAAAAGGTCAGAATCCCCCATGGAGGACAGTCTGACTCCAGTTCTTTCTGTCCAGCAGCACATCAAAGAATGGGTGAAACATCTGCGGCAGTAAAAAAACACACACACACACACACACACACTTTTTCTTTGTTCGTGTGCTTTAATCAAGTGTTCAACTGGCTATCTTTGTAAGTGCATTATTTTGTGCTCTAATGACTTTAACGTGAGTATTTTAGAAAATATGACATCACACAAAAACTACAAAGTGAGCAAAAGATATTTTTGTGACACTCCAAGGCTGTGACAACTTACCCACAAAAAAGGTCATCTGGACATAACACACAAAAAATGATTTGATTTTTTCATTTTTTGCACAGTTTTCAAACTTCTGATTTTGCTAATAAACCTGGCAACAAAGGGGTTAAATCTGAGAAACACACACATATTTTATTATATTTTGTTAGGGCTGAAGCCAAGGATGAAATTCATGTAAAAAAAATTGGGACTTATGAAATATTATATAATATTTCTATGGGAAGCTTTCTAAGTGCATTTTTTTTGTGCTCTAATGACTTTAACGTTAGAAAATTTAAACGTTGGGAAAGGGTTAAAACAAAATCTTGAATGGAAACTGTGCGACTGGACACTGAGACTGAATACAATTCCTATCCTTTCTAAAACATCACAATGAATTCTATTACCGTTGTTAATCCTTCTCTCTCTCTCGTGTGTGTGTGGGTGTGTGTGTGTCAATTAGTCTATTTCCATCGGCTCTTCTTCAAAGCCCATACGTGACTTTACCAAGACCCAGCATATAACGGATTATTGGCTGTGTCCCTGTAACTTGCTCCTCAAAGCGTTTATGAAAATCTGTTGTGGTGATAAGCAGGGGCGGTTCTAGACCAAATTTTCCAGGGGGGCCACAGTGGGGCCAGTATTTTTTCATGGGGGCGCAAGAAAAAAAAAGGGAATAATTAGGGCAATGTCAAAATTCTTTTTTGTCTCCGCCATATGACTAATTTTGTGCTTGTGCACAGTTTTACCAAAGGAAATTCCTAGTACTGTGAAACTATACTCACTTTTTTGTTCTCTTCTTTTTCATATCTATTTTTACTATATTTTGGGGATCAAATTTATCAAAACTTTTCCTTTACTTTTTTCATCTATGATCTTATAGCTGTATTTTACTAAAATAAGATTCAAATAAATTCATAATAAAAAACAATGAAAAAGTAAACTATTACAGCGAATGCAGTAATGCTTTACTTGTGAAAGTAAAACTGGCATGTTTTTATGGTACTCAGATAACAATTCTGAATGCTTCACCGCAACATGAGACTTGAGTAAAAAAATAATTCTAGTTGATTATTATAGTTTGTGACTTTATTTGAAGATTACATGTACTGTACATGTGAAAAATAAACATTCAAACAAATTAAATATGTGCACAATACAATTTCAGACAATTTCAATTTTTGCCTTTCAGACTTTGCATGTACCAAAAAAAAAAAACCTCCTCTCTGTTGCTTTTTTCCAGTTCCTAAATCCACATGGTGAGTCAAACACACTTCCTGCGCTACTTGGTGGGCTAAAATGTCTGCATGCATGACAATAATTAGAGTCCATAGTAACAGAATATTCAACCCAAGGATAACTTTCATACCAGCTTGGCTGAAAGCTGTGTCTTCTGTCTCCTATTAATGTCACTGGAAATGACCTCAAATGAGGCTGAGTAGGAAGGTCATCCTTGCACTTGCTGATATCTGAAAGAAAATAAATGTTAGCATAAGGATTGTCAGGGACTTGCCCAAACCAGCCAGAGACGCACTACTCATGAGACTCAAAAAACTCCATTTTATTTTGGAGCAGCTTCACAGGTAACAGAAACTTTAACCCAATCACAGCACAAGACCATCTCCAGAAAACAAAAGACATTTCAGACACACCAGGTTCAACTTAAATAGTGGCTGATCAGACCACTCTACATACAAGAGGGGAACAATTAACATACAATTAACACACACATCCTCACACACAGACACACACACAAACTAACCACTCTAATAAATTCAGGTAACTCAAACAACCAAATCATAATTACAAACTTCCTATCCATAACAGAAAACATCTACATTATATCGAACACAAGTATAAACATGAATCTCCCCTCCCTTGGGAGTTGGTAGATCCCAGGAGTGCCGATTAGGCTTCCTGAGGAGATGAGCTGCAGGTGTGAGACAGTGTTGCCAGATGTACGATAATTATCGTATTTGTACCATAATTTTGGGCTCTGTACGATGTACGATCAATAGTTTCAAAAATCCTCAAATGTACGATAATTTCACATTGCATCTAGTAACACGGCTTTGTGGCTTTTTAGCCGAGCACAACATTGCAATGAGAAGCACAGACCAGTTAGTACAGGTGATTAAAGGCATTCTGCTGCGACAGACAGTGAATCAGATGAGGAGATCGAGATCAGCAACTAGGTGAGTAGGCTGCTTTGTCATTTATTGGGTCAGTTTTTCCACTGCTGTGATGTTTTGTCGCGTGCTTTTAACCTATGTAGAAATGAAATAAATGGGACTGTGCAAATGTGCATATTGTGTCAATGCGTGGAGGTCGGAGTGGTGCCGACACACTCTGCACGTTTATAAGCATTATATTACTGGTTTTAAAGATGTTTATTTAAACAGGGCAATATAAAACACCTTCTTTGTTATAATATATTGGAGTGAGAAGTCGTTTATAGATCGTTATTATTAAATTTATCATGTACGATAATTTGTACTGAAAAACGATAATTTAAGCCTCTCTGTACGATATTGTGGGATTTTGGATCTGGCAACACTGGTGTGAGACTCCATGGGAAACTCCAAGTCACTGGTAACTCAAAATAGAAATACAAAATTAACACATACATTCATAAACAGAAGACTGTGTGCACATCAACCAGTCATCCTGGACAGAACACAGAAAACACTACCAGCAGACCATGTCCATGAGGTGACAGACACTGCTGTCACAAGGATAAAAGTCATAATTAGTTAATTCAGAGTCTTATTTTATTTATTTATTAAATATAAACAACAGAAATTTTGGTCCAGAGTCAGCATGCCTCAAATGCATTTTACACACAATATGAGCTGCAATCACAGAGGGGTTGTAACACCCACAAACCTGACGGTAGTGTACACGGTACACATGACAGAAGATGTCCCTCTTTTTGCTCCTCACTCTCTCTGTCACAGCCTACATCTTCCTCCTCACTCTCAGGGTGGACAGTCTCTGACCTCTCTGGTTCCTCTCCAACCAACTCCTCCTTCTCTCTTTCATCCTGCTTCTCAGCTCCCTCGTGACTTTCATCCTCTCTCTGTCTACGCTGTTCTTTATTAACAGCGGTAAAAAAGGACAAAATGTCCCTTTTTCTTTTCATGGCCGCTGATGCTTCCAGTCAGTGCTGCGAGAAAGTCATAGATAAATGAATACTGCAATCCAATCTCAACGTGTCTAAGGCTTAAAATGCAGCAACTTCATTTTTATTTTAAAGTTAATGTTGAAAGGAAAAACAAATCAGTATTAACTGTGGATAGACTCAGTTAGGAACTTAAAAGTAAATGACAGAAACGCGATCAAAACACTGATGTCAGGAAAATAAACTGTATTGCTTACCTTCGTCTCTTATTTAGCGTCTTTTCCGTTAGTCGTTCTCAAGAATTTCTTCGGGTCCCATTTAAACTATTTTTAATCTTTTATTCAAAAATCCACCGGGTAAACAGTTCTGTCCACATAGTGTGCTGCGCTCTAAAGGCTCCGTGTGAAACGCTGCAGCGCGTTAGTTCCCGTCTCTGAGGCAGCGCGGGAAAAAACTCCGATCTCTTCTTCAGCACAGGGGCCATAACAGGGGCCATGGCCGGTTCTATAGGGGCCCAGACCCCTGTTTAAAACCGCCAATGTGGATGAAATACGTCTCCACCCATGTACTATTAAGTTTCAGAGGAAAAGGAAGTCGTTCATTCAGTCAGAAAGGCGAACGTAGGACAGAGACAAGGCAAGGAGTGTAATTACACAACCATAAACAATCCTGCATCTCTACAAAACAAAGTGTGTTATAGGAGGCCCGTCATTGATGTCTTGCTGTTAAAGAACAAACGTCTGATGCCCCGATTTTAGTTTAATTCTAAGAAAAATAAAGGCACATGGTGATTGATCTGGTTACTCAGTCAGGATAACCAACCTTTTCTTTTTCATGTGGTGAGAAATGTATAAAACTAGAAAATCCAGTGATTATTATGCAAGGTTACACAGAACTGATGATAAAGAGTAAAATGGCAGAAAATTCAGATTTTATTCCTACAAATATGTGACTAAAATGATGCACCCCTCCTTCTAACAGCTGTTGTGTTGGTGTTACAGCGCCCTCTGTAGGATAAATGTGGAGTTACAGCACCTGTTGGTGGTTTGAGATGGACGGATGCAGCACCACTCTTACCCCGGGTTTCCACAGGAGCCGCCAGCAGCACGTTACTGCAGCAGCACGTCTTGCTCGCGTAAGCTGCTGCTTGGCCCTTCCCACGAGACGCGAAGCAGCAGGGGAGCAGCTGTCACCGACCGAGCACGAATTCACACGAGTGACTTCGTCAGTAAACACAACAACAAGCAGGAGAAAACTACAACATGGTTTGTGTTTTATGTTCTGTCCGTTTTATAATCGCCAATACGGACCTGAAAAACAAAGGAGACCGCTAGCTAGGTGATAACTTCTCACGGGGACGCACAGTTAGTAACTTTTTTTAAAAGTAAAGCAACCGGAAGGCAGCACGTTCTTTATTCTGAAAATCTCGGGAGCTTCGCTCCGTTTCCGCATCCTATTTCCTGTCTTTCCTTCCCCAAAAATGTCGAACTTGACCCGTTTCAGAGGCGTCGCGCGTAGAAAATAGAACCGGCGCGTAAAGGCCGCGACATGCTGCTCCTGAGACGCGGCCGACTCGCGCTGCTGACGGCTGCCGGCGGCTCCAGTGGAAAAGGTTCTGTTGACCACAGCGGTTCCTATCAGCAGCTATGACGTGCTGCTGCAGTAACGTGCTGCTGACGGCTCCCGTGGAAAGCCGGGGTTACTCCACTGACATCACAATGTAACAAAAATGTCAGGAAATAAAGTCCTGGTTCGTTTATTTTTTATTAAAATAATTTATAAATGTATTGTTACACTGTAAAAAATTCCAAGTTGACTCAACTTAAAATAATTTGTAACCTCGCTGCCTTAAAATTTTGATTAACGCTAGCAAATAATTTTGAGTAATGTCAACAAACTAGTAAGTTTCTTCAACTTATGGGATAAAGTTCACATAGCTTATTTTCTTTTGCTGAATAAATTTTCTTTTTTCAGTCAGATCAACTAATATGTTAGTTCTATCAACCACATAATCTAAGTAACTTCTACAAATCTTTGATTCAGGCTAACAAATTATTTAAAGTAATTTCCACTCACATCCAAGTTGAAATTACCTGAAATTATTTGTTTGCCTGATTTATAAATTAGTAGAAATTACCAGAAATTTTTTGTTTGCCTAATTTATAAGTTAGTTGACATGACTTGAAATAATTTGCTAGCCTTAATCAAAATATTAAGGCAGCAAGGTTACAAATTATTTTAAGTTGAGTCAACTTGACTATTTTTTTTTTACATGTTTCAAAAAGATCCACTCTTAACTTCTGTTTTTGAGGATTCAAAATGTTTTAAAATATAAATAAAAACCAAATGCGTCTTTGGGTCAATTTCTAGATTTATTTTAAAAACATCTATTTTAACATTTAGAAATCATTTCAAAACACCAAGTTTTTTTAACATCCTCACAAGAATCCTGTTCAACTGTATGTAAATACATAAAACTACAGGATAGGACTCCAGTTTGGTTATTTTAACACTGTTCAGAATCCATGTAGTTCATCGCCAAGCTTTAAAAAAACATTTTCAGCATAACTTTAACACAATTTCAGATATCTTTTAAAGTAATTAACATTTTTCAATAAACAAAAATGGCAGGCTACCCTGATATTAAAACATATTACTGCTGGAGCAATTTGTTGCGCAGTCCATGAACCCGAGCAGAGCAGGTGCTTCCCCAATGTTCATTAGTACCTTCTGAATTACCTCGAAGGTGTACTTCAGTCTCTTCGGATAGCTGATGTTGAAGCAATAAAGTAGTCCAATCAACACAGCTAAAGCATTTGGTACATCGTGCAGCTCACATAAAACGATGTGCTCCTCCAGGATTACAGCTACACCCACAATGTTTGTTGATAGAGCCGCCATCTCCGCAGTTTGCTCCGTGGAAATCAGTAGGCCTACATCCACTCCTTTCCACACTGCAGGGTCTCCCGCAGAGTTAGTGGTCTAAAGTTTAAAAGAACAGAGTGTGTTCACCACTAGGATTGAACGAGATCATCATGTCATACAGATGAGTCACTGTAGTCACTGTATAATGACAATAATCGCCGTTCATTCATTCATTCATGCACTGTAATAAATAATATTTGCTTTTAGTTTCTGCAACTTAATATTCTATGTTATGCTAACAGATTTTTCCCATAAAGTTGAGATAACTAAAAAATGTAGTTTTTACCCGTTCAACTAATACAAAATCTGCCAATAAGTACCGCCCACTCTGATATGTAAGTGGTACAACGCGGGAAGGTGTTTCGCGCATGCTCAGAACACCGCCCCTCCTGCATTGTTCCCCTGGTCAACCCTTGCCTGTCGTGCTGCTTGCTCTTCTCACAACCAGCCTGGCAGCCATTATCGCTCTGTTGGGGTTATTAGGAGCGAATAATTCGTAATCTTTAACTTACTTTTGGATTCTTCAATAAATTCTGTAAATATGGGAATATTTACTGATTTATTAATTAATTAAGATATTCTTAGATATACGGGGCACCATTCCCCTTCAACCGGGGAAAAATTGAATCCAAAACTCTTATCAGTCTTTCTTGAAGTTCGTAGAATCCTCGGAGCAGAGACTTCTCTTCGACACAACAAAGCTACTGGAGACGAAAATCTGAATTTTATAACGTTTAATTAACAATTTGTCAAATGAATAAACAGTGGCATAAATGAATAATAACCATGTGATATAATAAAAGGATGTATATTCAAAATAATGTTCAAGGTGTTTTGTGTATGTATGTGTGTGCGTGTTTCTAAAATGGAGTCTTGAATACAAGATGGCTGACCCCTTTGTCTGGCTAAAGTGTGGGTGGCAACTTGCACTTTAACTTCCAAAGCACTTAGAATCAGTAGTAACTTAACCTTAAATCACTCAAAACATTTCAAAGGATCATGAAACAACAAAAGATTAATCACAAGTTAATATCTTTTAGTTTATCAGCATGGCCATGGCCGAAACATTTAAAGATACCAAACAATGATTAATAAGCAGTTTATTCTTTCAAAATGACCCGACGGACGTGTTTGGGAACGAAAGAGGAAAACACTAAGCTACTTTTTAAGCAATAGCGCGGTTTTATTGCTTATTCTGGACTATAGAGGAAACGGGAGAAGAAAAGGAGAGAGAGAAATGAGTTTTCTGATCACCAGAACAGCAAGGCATCCCCCGCTGTTTGATTTGACGGTTCTCCGTGTTTCTCCGTGTTTCTCCGCAGTTTGGCATCGTCCGTCGGTTTGATGCTTTCTCCGTTGTTTTGGCCCCACGAGTGTTTCTCCAACGGGCTGGACACAAAGAGAACGAAGTTTCTTTTGGGCTGAGTTTGACAACTTACAGCGTCTCTGAGAGCTGGATGGAGCTCCGCTCGTTCCCAGTCAGGTCCCGATGGAGTTGGAGTGGTGTTCCAGCGGTTGCGTGGCTCAACTTGGGCACTTAGAGCTTCCGCGTGCTCAAGGGAGTCGGAGCGTTCGACAAGCGTGTCCTTACCGCCAGGTATCCTGGGCAAAAGAACGAGGTTTCTTTGTCTTTGCTGAAGATTTATGGTCTTAATTCGCGGGAAAGCTCCACGGCCTCCCGCACATGCGCAGAACGTGTTTCTGGTATTAGGCGGTGACATCATCCCAATGCTTCCGTGTGCAAAGCATCATGGGAAATGAAGTTTCTTGGCGCTGATGTGATTATTTGCTTTTCAAAGCAATTTAAGCACAGTCATTTTGGAGAAAATCACTGCATAGTAATTTCCTCATGAGGTCAGACCCTCAACATTCCCCCTTTTGGTTTCGGGGATCGCGCCCAAAGCTCGATCGTCGGAAGCACAGATGGGTTTGTTCCTCATGAACGTAGGTCGACTTGATTGTCGGAAGCACAGGTGGGTTTGTCCCTTAGGACGTTGGTCTCCTTGGACGCCTTTGTCTTTGGTCTTTGTCTTGGATCCTGGCGCCTTTGGTCTTTGATCCTGGTCAGGCACAAAGAGGATAGGAAACGGGATAGTCCCCAACGCGCATAACGAGAAGAAGCCACTCACGCAGGTGGTACGCAATGATGATGTCGTCCATGCGAGAGGTAGTAGTGTAGAAGGAGGAAGGTCGGTGGGCGGTTAACTCCACGAGGGGACACAAAGGCATCTCACCGCCGGCCATACAGTTCAGTTTATGGAGCACGCGGTGATGTACGAGGTCCATAGTTCGCAAATGCGCATTGACCTATGTGGTCCCAAGATTCCCCCCTTTTTGGTCCAAAGGGTGGATCAGGACAGTCTTTGGGCTAAAACAAGGACCATAAAACTAAGAGGTACTACAATGTGCTGGTGCGTCAGACAGAGTCATTGACAGACTGAGCTGGGCCGGCACATAACCACTAGTTAATATGTGACCAAGTAAGAAACAAAAATACAGAAAACCCAAAAAAAAAAAAAAAACATATAACATCCAAGAAAATTCATAGCAACCTTGAGGTCTCATAAAATACATTCTTAGGTCATACATTCAGTGTGTAGCTTATAAAGAATGTGACATAATGCAACACTCAGATAAAAATGTGAGGTAGACTAAAGTGAGAACTACTCGTAGGGTTACAAAATAACAAAGAAAATGTTGCTCACCCCCTTTAGACAGGTGTGGTACATTCACGCTTGGAGTCTCCCCGAACGCGGTTACGAGGCACACCGTAGGTGAGCAAGTGCATCTTATCTTGGAGTTTCTTAACACGCCTGTAGGCGGAATAAGCAATCACGGCCGTGATGAGCCATCCCATCCCCAGGGCGACCAATGTGCAGATTAAGGTCGTATAATCTGTGTCAATGTAGCGTCTTGGGTATCTATTCATGGGCGTCAAAGTAAGTTCACGCGGGGTTTGTGTGAACTTAACAAATTTGGTTCCTTCAATCAGAAGTTGTTGGTCAATTTCTAAATCGAAGGCAAAGTTATAACCCTGGAAAGCGTCCATGATCTCAATCTCTGAGTCATGCTGTTCGAGGTTGAGATGATGGAGTGCCAGGTTTCTAGTTCAAAGTGGAAATGCCTACCGTCCTTTCAAATACCAATGTTCAGCATCGACTTAAACCTATAGATGTGAGTTGTCACAATCATGGGAACATGTAACAGGAAACCGAGTTCTAATTTTCTGCATCAACGTGAATGGGAATTGCACTACCTAGGCTGTACGCTAGGTGGATTTGTGAAAGGTGCACAGTAGAGGGGTAAGTACGGGGAAATACGACTTTCAAACAAGCTGTCTAGCGTGGAACTTACGTCCCTGAGCAGGTCCTGCATCACATCTCTCACCACTCGTGTGTACACAATATCCTGATGTATGGTGTCAGACAAAGTCTTGATTGCACGTAGAGATTCATTAATCAGAGCAGAATGTAGGTTGACAGTAACATGAGTACCCTGTAAGGTTTTAGTGAGTACATCCTGTTAGAGGTCTAGGAGGAGTTTCTCTTGGTTAGTGAAAGTGACGGCGGGGGGGGGGGGGGGGGGGGGGGGGGGGGGTCTGGTTCTTTGTCGGTTAGTACATGTTAATGGGTTAAACGTGCACTTCCCCCCCTTTCCATTTCCATGCATAGAACTATGTAGAGGCTACGTCTACCTCCTGCGGGGAGTCTGGTCTCTGTACCCGCGGGGATGGTTTGACGTAGGGTTTGATTTGGTTCACATGCACCCATTTG